AACAACAAAAAAGTACTAGGCAAAATCCACGTATAAAATTGGATTTCTCAAGTTGCATTCCCTCAGGAAAGCAACTAGAACTGCAGAGATCAGCCTGAAGCAAAATCTTGGTTCTCACTTCTAACACACACCTCTGTTTCACAGAATAATTTCCAAATCCAAACCCACTCTACTTTAAGAAACTTTAAACCAGACCTTGAAGTTTAACTCCGATATTACTGAAATGAAACATGTTTCTAAAATGAAATGTTCCTCTTTAAACAAAGAAACCAAAGCTTGCATTTGACATTTACAAGCCAGTATCAAGAAGATGCATCACTGACATCACTCCTTTTAGCACCTCATTATGTATGTTGGTGGAAGGACAAGCTTCACTTGCCACAGTGAATCAACAGAACTGACTCCAGAAAATTTATACAGGATTTTATCTGACGAATGCAAAGCCAAGAAAAAAACCCTTTCTGCATCATTGTGGTTGGTCTTGATTGATCCTGCCACATTATTACAAACAAAGCATTTGCTCGAAGTATTTGTTTGCTTTCCTTTTGCCTGGGGGAATCTGGGAATCAGTAAATGCCACAGAACTTAATGGAAACTTTTAATGCAGACAAGCCACAAGATGAGATTATATTTCTTGGGTGAACTGGTTTGCTTTTTCATTAGATCCATTTGTTCTCTATTATTAGGCCAGAAGATTGAGTCTATGGAGTTAAAGTAATGCCTAGTTCTGTCTGAACTTTCTGGAAGACAAAAGAAAAGTCAACACCAGTGCGCAAAGGTTAAAAGGTTCTACCTACAAAGCAGGCCACTTTCTCTGTTCACATCCACAAAGTCTTTCTTCAGCCCAGTTATGCAATCACACAGTTACTTCATTTCTGATCTTCGGTTACAGACACATTTCTTGAAAGCTGCTCAGAAAACCTGGCTGGGACTAAGGTAAAGAAAGGACAATTGAGTGATGGATTGAGCAACGAAAGCCAGTTCAAGCAGAAGGCCTAAGCTCAATGTAGCTCGTAGAGGAGGAAGAGAAGAAAAAAAAGAAGTAAAGACTCATTCTCTTTTTTCATATTTTCTTGGAGGCTTTCCTAAGTCCTGGTGGTGAGGAGTTTGTTCTTAGAAGAGTTCATTTTTGCCACAGAGCAGGAAAAGGTGGGAGAAGAATCGGAGCTAGGGCAGAGAGCCAAGGGAAGAGCCCAGTGCTTTTTCCATAGCTAACCTAGGGGGCAAGGGGTTGAGACAAGGAAGCAGTGACTCCTGCTGTTCAGAAGGTACGATCTCAACAACTGCCACCATCCCCACCACACCAGCCAAGGGATGTCTATAACCACAATATCAGTGGCAGCAGGCAGTTGGGCTTTCTATATAACCAGGATGAGATGTATACTAAATGCAATATGCAAGCTTGCTGGTCTTGCAAGCTTTTATTTAGCCTGCTTTGAGAACCAGTCCAGAGCACAGTGGTGAGGAAATAGCTGTCATGTAGCCATCATCTGTTGAAAAGATGTCCCTTTTCACTGCTGACAGTCTCCTGGGAGTCCAGACCACTCGGGCTTTTGGCTTCCTGAGATGGGAGCATTAGCAAAATTCACAGCGGTCTTCAGTCTCCTGGACTGAAGTCCAGCCTGAAATGCGAAAGTTGCAAGTGGGCACTGAGAAAAACATGAGGACGGAGCTTTGCCAAGAAGGAGCGAAACTGTGGACATGATTAAAAATTTTGGTGAAAAAAGATGTTGGATGTCTTTTGAAAAGCGGACATATTAGGGAGAAAATTTTCTACCTCAAACCAATATGCACAGAGATCTAAGAAAAAAAAACTGTGGATTCTCTCTCTCTTTCCCCTCCCTCCCCTAACCTTCAGCTTTCATATTCAAACTTTGGCATACATGTTTGGATTTCACTTTAAGAAAGAAATCATTCCAGAAGACTGCAGAATCGAGGACAAACCTCTAATTTCAATAACCAATACAACCAATAAATATGCTCTTTGTTGCTGCCAAACTGCTAGAGAAGAATAGACTATGTAGATCTTTAAGTATCCTGCTTATCAACATGACTTTACCTCAGATATCTCCTGTTACTAAGGAGCAGCTAATTTTGCTTACTGAGTCCTTCACACACAGTTGATTTAGAACTCTGCTGCCAGATTCTTGTTTCAGGATATTCTTCTGTCCAGAAAATACCAATTCACATACCGATTCATAAATCATTAGTGCACAGTGAAAAAATGTCTCCAAGCAAACAAAACAAAACACTTCCATAGTTAAAAGCTAGACTAAAAAACACAAGAAGAAGAATCTGCAGCTACATATCCTAGGAGAGCAAGTGCAATAACAAGATCACGATGACAACTGACTTGCAATAGCCAAATGAAGGGATTCTACTCACAGCCAGCACTGTGACCCTGTGTCTTATGAAAAGGGAGGGACAAATACTGTGAAAGTTTCACTGCTTCTGTTTTGTGAAGTGATCCATAAAAAATGGCCACAGTTTACTAAATGGGGAAATAAATACAAGTCAAACATTAAAAAAAAAACCAACAAAACAACCAGAAACTTTCACTATCCACATATATTCCTGTCTGCTCTTACCGTCCTGCTTTCAAACCATCAGACAAATCCAAAGAGGGGTCATCTTTGCGTTGTCACAAGCAGCAGGTAGGTCTTGTGATTAACAACTGGACTGGGGCAAGTTAGAATTGCTAGCACAAAGTAATGCATACAGAAGGAGAGCAAAAAAGGTTACATGTAAAGTTGGTGCAATCTGACAGCAGGCTGGGGATTAGAGAAAGCTGTCAGAGAGAGAGAACGAGAAGAGAGAGGGAAAGAGAAAATGAAGAAAGAAACAGTTTGGACTGCTGAGGTAGAGATCTGATGCTGGAAACACACAGAGCAGAAAAAGGCAATGACCCAAGAAAGTATGCACCTGATGATCTGAGTATAAAAGCCTGAAATCTGTGAAGAAGAGGGAAAGTTAAGCAACTTTCCCTCCCATTCTCAGTGCACTCCTAAATTTCCAATTTGGGATTAAAAAGTGCAGAATGCATTCATGGTCCTGAACTCAGTTCCTTCTGCTATGACATGATCTTCATGTGGAAGCGTGCAACCTGCCACCTGGAAGCTTTACCCTCAGAAGGGGTAAAGGAGAGAGTTGGGCTTCCAGATCAGTGAAAGTGCAGGATGCCTGCAAAGCAAGGATACCCAGCTTCCCTCCTGTCACCTCCCAGATAATCCCCAAGGAGCAGCCAGCATCTTGGCAGCTGCAGGGCGCTGGCCCTTTAAACAGAGCAGATTTGTTTCCATGCACATCTAGCAGAGCTTTTGAAAATCAAGTTGCTGATCCTACTGAGGGAAAGAGCAAATAAGGAAATCTAGCAGCTCTGGAAGCTCGGTGTTACAGAGCTTGTTCTAACCGTGTAACAGGTATGAAGCAGGCTCAGGATGGCATTACAGGGTGTTGTCTTACATCTGACAGCTCCTGGCCTGCAGCACCTGTCATGCATTTCCCTGCCTTTGAAGTAGCTAAAAACTTCCCGGTGTGTTCCGGATGCCCTTATTTTAAAGGGATCCAGTAACATTTCTGTATTTTCTGGATTGTATCTCTATTAAAAGTAAAAAGAAAATGCGTCTGGAATTTTTTCAGGCCTGGAAACGCCCCCAGTCTGGATTGGCAAGAACTTCGGAATCTAATCTTTTCTACATTTTATTTATTTACTGAATTGTCCACATGACATTTTTAATGCTGATTTCTGGGTCGAGTTGGAGAATTATCTTTGGTCTTTCTACTTATTTAGAAAGTGCACAATGAAATACTGAATACAGCTGTACTTCTGAAATGGATCTTGGATAACCTTATCTGAATAACTTCATTTTAAATGTGAATGGACTTTTGTAAGGGGAACTTTCTTAGATAAACTTGAGGGATATTTTATAACTCAGTGGCTATTTGGAAGGGAAAATCTGAACTTCTGTTCCCTTGTGAAGAACTACATGCAACTCCAGAGCTAACATCTAAAACCCAGCAGCCAAGCAAGCAAATCAAACAACCAGCAAGCACCTAAGATATGGAAAAGCCTTTTATTTGTGAAGGAATCTAACAGGAGAAATGCAGTTAATCCTAGCATAGAGTTCTGTTTTGTTTCCCTCTTTTAAAAAAACATTTGGTGGTTGCTTCCTTAGAAACATTCAGATTTAAGGAGTTTGACACAACAACAAAATCACTGTTCCTGCTGCTGAGAGAACGCATCTGGTTTCTGCAGAACCACCACTGGCCTTTTGAACCGCATTAATACGACCTATCTTAATCTGTGTAGTGTCACATTTGTGTTATTAATCATATACTAACTTAGTTCCAGTGCAGTTGACTGGCTTTGGGAAATCCTGCTTCGTTCATTAAGGGTAAGCTTTGCCTTTTGCCTTAGGGCAGTTCCTTAAGCTCGCAACTGCCAGGAATAGGCTGTGCTTACTGCGAAAACGCAGAGAGGAAAGGGACTGTTCCTGTAAAAATAACTTCACAGCAGCAGTGAGATGTCCTGGAACACAAGGAGAGCACAGGGGTGCTGCAGTCTCAGACAGAACAGAAGTTGTTTTCTCTCTCTGCTGGACCGAGGACACCCTCCCAGTTAGCACTGGCACCTCATTCGACACGGTGATCCAGGACCCTACTCCCTTCAGGGCCACTCCAGCCGGCACCGCCAAGGGCTCTCTCCCAAAGGGAGCTGCTGTGCCCGCAGGGCGCGTCTCCAAGCCTACGGGAGAAAGTGGGAACCTTTCCAGGGACTTCCACGCACTCGGAATCGGGTCCCGGACGATCCGCACGCGGCTTTCCCAGGACGCGGTGCTGGAAACCGACGGCGGCCAACAGGCGAAGCCCTCCCGCCCGACGCCTCGGACTCCCGTTAACCCTGTCGTCCTTCATCCCCTCCTCCGCCGCACATCAGAATCACGCCCTGCGCTCCCCTGGGCGCACTTCCCTCCCTCCACACGCTCCGTACCGCCCCGTACCTGAGAAGTCCCGGAGCGCCGCCACCTCGGCGCAGCACGCGAGGATGGCGCAGGAGAGGAGGGGCAGCAGCCGCCCGCGCTCTACCTGCCGCCGGCGTGGGTGCTGCCCCGCGTCCCCTCCCCTCATGGTGCGGGAGAGGGCAGCGGGGGGGCGGAGCAGCCCTGCCCGGTGCCGAGGCCGCCGCGCGGCCGCCCCCCCGCCGCGAGAGGGGGTCCCGGCCGCGGGTCGCCGCCGCGGGGGAGGGAAGAGGCTCCTCGGCGGCGCCGCGCCTGGCACTGCCCTCGGCGCGCATCGTGCGGGCCGGGCTGACTCAGTCCCGGTGCACCTCGCCCGCCCTCCCCCGGCTCTCTCCACCCCTCTCCGGGCAGTTCTCGGGCCCGGCGCCTCCCTCTTGGCTAAATGGCAGCGTTCCGCATTCGCACCCCGCGCTTACGGCTTTGCTTTCCACTTATTTTCCTCCCGTCGTTTCTGCTTGGCAGTGGTCGGAGGGCCGCCTCGGGCTTGCGCACACACCCTGGCTCATGTGACAGCATTACCCCGCTGTGTTCTCTATATTGCCTATACTTCCTTCCCCCACACACATCCCTTTATTTTTCCCCCTCAGGACAGACGCAAGGTGCTCCCCATCGCTCCCTCTCCCCACAGCACAACCTTCCTACATTCCCTTCCTCACGCTGCCTTGGCCTGCATGCCAGACCAGCTTCAGCCCCCCAGGGCTGCTGGCAGGTGCAGGGGAAACCCAGCTAGCAGGACAAAACTCCCAGGATGAGGGATTTCAGAGAGCTGAGGGCTGCGTTGAGAAGTGAAAGAATCATAGAATCATAGAATTGCTCAGGTTGGAATAGACCTTAAAGATCATTAAGTCTAACCACAACCTAAACATACTACCCTAAATCTAACAACCCTCTGCTAAATCATATCTCTGAGCACCACATCCCTTTCTCCATTCCTTCCCCTCGTGTTACTGTCTGACAGCCCCTTACCCAGCCCTTAGCTTAAAAGCCACGTAGTCCAGCACAGCTGAGTTTGAAGTGCGTAGCGTTGCTTAAGGCTTTCATTGCAAAGTGAGAAAACATTTTGAAGTTGTTTTGAGAGGGTTCAGGTTGTTCCCTGAGATCTGTTTTGTAAGACTGGAAAGTAAACCAGTGGGAAGTTAAAACAAATTCCCTTTACAAACTGCCTGCTAAGCCACCTTCGGATGTGATTTGCAGCTCTTTTTAACACATGTGGGGCAAAAGGGGCAGGAGAACCTAGAGGCAGCACTGGAAATGGGCATGGAAGCATCCCCTATCCTGGGGCTGTGCTTGGGTGTAAAGTGGGTAGGTAAGGATATCTACATGCTGACAGCCTATGCTATGTTAGGTGTGTTTATGCTCTTCATAGAATCATCATGTAATCTTTTGAGTTAGAAAGGATCTTTAAAAGCCATCTAGTCCAACTCCCCTGCAATGATCAGGGCACCTACAGCTAGATCAAGCTGCTCAGAGCACTGTCCAGCCTGACCTTAATTATCTCCAGGGGCAGAGCATCCACCACCTCTCTGGGCAACCTGTTTACTCATCTGTTTCCTCCAGAAATGACACAAGTGAGTAAGTAAGAAATGATTACACCAAACAGATTCTGTTAATTTCCTAACTTTGGCGTCTCTTTCTGGAAGTCATGCTGAACTTTGACCATGTTTACATCTGAATTCACTTTCTTTCCTCAGCCTCTCCCTCTTCACACATAGAATAACAACTGGATAACTTGAGTAATATACTCATTCTTCCTTTGGATGGTCAGATAATAGCAAATCAGGTTTCAGATAAACCTGGCTGAGGTCAGGAACATCCCATCAAGTTTTACTAAACTCAGAAAAAATGGCATAAAAGATGCTGAAAAGCAGGAGAAAATGGAATAATTTTAGAGAAGCTGCAACTGCAAACAGATGGGAAGACAGGACTAGCTGTATAGGAATTAAGAAGTTCTTCCTTTCACCTGCTTCAAGTGAGGACTGTATTTCCCTCTGAGCTGAAACACCTTCCCCATGTCTTGTAGCCATTATATTAGGTACAAAACTATGGGACTCTCCTGTATACTTCCCTCTTTTTTTTCCCCTTGATCTTGTTATGCCAAGTCATTTAATCAGATACTTCATGCACCTACTGTCAGAAGTCAGTTCCACTGGAGGCAGAAATGAATGCCAAGGAAATGTTAAAAGTAGTGTGTATTTATATCCCTTAGTAAGAGGAAATACTTTGGGAACCGTGCTCAGATTTTCTATAAAAATGTCTGGGTGACTGAGGTGGACTGGTCTACCCTAACTTTGCCACATCAACCGTAACAACATATTTACTGCATCTTCATGTGTGTGAATGACCTTTGGCTTTAGACCCTCACAGTCAATAGAGAAATGCAGACACCTCATATGCTATATGCTCTAACGAAAGTATTTTACCTCCTCCTCTCTGAACTGCTCACTAATCCATGAGACATAACCGTCCATGATAGTAATTCACTTTGCTGTGTATGAGTTGGAGAGGGTTTGTGACAAGCAGAACCAGTGCACAAGAATATAGAACATCAAAAATTATTGAGAAATACCATCCTGTACTCATACTTGAAAGGCTTTGAGTCAGAAGATCCCGTGGGATTGTTTGCTTAATGAGAACTATAGACTTTCTCCTCCTAATGAGACAACACTGCCTTTTCTAGCCCTGTGGTGCTGTAAGTAAGAGACCATCCATGGTGCAGGAATGAGCCCGGTATGTTTTTGGCACTGTTCAGATATGACCCAAAGGCAAAGTCAGTTTTCAAGTGGAATGTCTGAACTGGGAGAGGTTCAAAACGTTGTAGGTAACCTCCCGGGAGGTGAGGCAGCGAGGGCTGAACAACAACAAAAGAGGCAGTCAGGTGCTCCTGTATGTAGTTGCTTCCCATTTGGGGAAGTCTTCTTATGGAGGAGAGTGTCTTATGGATATTGCAACCAACAGGAACTGAAGATGTGTCTTAAGTAAAATGGCACTGGCAATTATTTTCTTCTCTGTCTCTTTCTTTCTCTCCCTGGGAATACTTTGTTATTCAATGATCACCTCTAGTCTGTAATTTTTATTTTTGTTGTTGTTGCAATCCCTGCCATTCCTTTCTATGGGTAAGGCTTACATAGTAAAGTTAGAGACAACACTGAAAAACACCAAGAGAGACAGAAATTATTATTTATCTTGATGTGCACAATGTGTTTCTATGCCATAGCCATTAAAACAGTTTCTACAAGCTGGCAAAGCTCAGCAGTTGGAAGACATTATAACTAATCCAGACATGTTCAGCACGCAGAATTACAGAATTTGTCAGCCTTGGCCTTTCCTTATGAGCAAGTGGAGTGAGATCCATTTTTCACCAAAGACAAAATGAAAGCTTGTAAATGAGAATCCAGACCAGACAGCATGCCTTCTTCAAAAAGTTTCTCTCTTTTGAACTCAGGGAGGAAAGAAATCATTTCATAGTGTCAAAAATGCAGGAGCTGTGTTGTTGCATTGAAGTTTTTGCATGGGCAAAGCAAAAATTTTTTTTTCTCTATATTAATCATTTTTCTCTGAACTTCAGCCAAACTGCCAATTTGAAAATCATGTCATGGCTTAGTGTACGGAAATTCAAATCACATTCATGCTGTCAGGAAATAAACTTGCAATGTGGAATCATAGAAGAAAGCCGAGTTAGATGGCGTAAAATTTCCTATCAGGAAAAAAAAAATCACAACTAAATATACAGCACAGTAGCAAAACTATAGCTCTTGCTGTATTGGAACTACCTTCAACTTCTATGAAACACTATTTCATATGTATAACTGTTTTCCTACCATAACAACTCCTTACCTCTTTTTCTTCCTCTTCACTCTCCAGTCAATTTAGGAACTAAAATATTTCATTTTTATTCTCATCTCCCAGAATAAAGTGTCCAAGAAATCCACTAATGGTCTCTTCAGCATTTTGGGGGAAAAGATAAAAAAAAGAAAAAAGCTAAGAACAAAACCCCAGGATTTTCCCACATTTTAAAATGCTTTATATGCTTGCATTCTGACACAGATGAAATCTACAAGACAGTTCAAACAAGTGGGCTGTTACCCTCCCTCTGTTTCTATGGAAATGAATGTCCAACCAGTTAAAACAAAGCACATGCTTTACAGTAATCACTATATGGTGATTATTTGGAATAACATAGCACATTTTTCCTTATTCAACCTCTATTTCTATGGATACAAGAATGAAAATAGTGATAGGGAAGCTTCTCTTGTATATCTCAACTGCAAGTGTGTTTTGGATGTGAGTTCTCAAAGGGTGCCACAGTTTTTAAGTTCAAGTGTGCAGCAGTTTGATCTTGAGAGGATCAATTCTGCGTGCTATAGTTAGGAAACATTCCCATGGATATCAGAAGAAATTTGGAGGAACACAGTAGGAGGGATACAGTACTTCACCCAGTAGGCTTACAGGTAGAGGAATTATTTGATATGTTTTGCCTTTTTTTTTTTTGAGTTATCTCAGATAGAGATAACAAGTTATGAATTTAGTGGTCATAAGACTTCCTGCAAAGTCAGCACTTGACCTAACTAATGACAGCATCATTGAGATCCTGACCACTTCACAAAAAAAAGCAATAAGATGAAACACATGAAGTTTATAAAACCAATAAACTTGTGTCTCATTTCATCTGAAGTCCATCTCAACCCTCTCATCACATGCAGCAGAAAGATCACGGCCCCTCATCCTCCTCCATGGTGTCAGTCTTACTGGCATCACTCCACCAATTAATTTTTCTAGCAGTTCACCCAGTGTACTTGTACAGACATGAATTAAGTGGCATGCCCCTTCCCACTGAGTTTTTCTGCTGAAAACAGCAACAAAAAAAGATCTAAGCAAGAGGAGGAATATACACACCAAGGAAAAGGTCTTGGCTTTGTTAATCATGCCCCCTTAAACACAAAAGTCATTCTTGGTAGGTTTCCAAAAAGGATCTTAAAGGATGGGCTAAAGGATGCCGTATGTCTTCCCTCTCAGTTTGGAAAGGACATCAGGACAGAGTAGCTGGGTGGACCCCATTTTGGAAAACAGCCTGTTTACTTGTGAAAGTGACTTACTGTGGGTTTATGAGACTGCCTTTTGGCTGGTGTTGTCACTGTTTCTCCTTTA